TTATAAAACTTTCATCTTGTCGTCATTGTGCTTTCTGGTTTTTGTCCGACCATGATAAAATCTAAGGAAATCAAGAACAAACAACACGATTTGGGATAGGAACCGCCGTTGTCGTAATCCTAGAAAATGGTGGTAAATACGGACTCACCTGCCAAACTGGTTTGGATTGAGATTTTTATCGGGTATCATGGAACCATGTAATTATAAATTAGACTTGATCAAAACGGGCCAAAACTTGAAATTCAGCCTGTTTGACCGACTCATGCCAAATTCTAATTATTCTTTACTTTTAAACTTTCTATTTGAAAATAAAAAATAGTGAAAGAAAAGAGATGACTGCAATTCGCCATTTGCACATCACTTATTTGGGAATAAAGCCATAGAAATTCAAAAGGAACTGAAAATATTTAGGATCGTTTTAATGTTTAAAATAACCAAATAGATCTTTCTGTTTAGTTTTTTACTAACAAATACCAAACGATTCCCTATAAAGTACACTATAATTTGATCATTATGATATCAAAAAATTATATAATATATATTTGAAATGATTAAAATTGGACTAATTGGGTTAGTAGAGGTTGAACCATTGAATAATTTTAAAATACATTATATTTTAGCCACTAAGTATAAAATAATAGCATAATATATATTATGCCAGAGAAAATAGCTTGTTTTAGAATGTCAAACCAATGATGTTCATTTGTTTTACTTGATGGCCAAATCCCGTGTAGGTCGGGCCTATTCAACTCTTTTATTTTATGGTTAGCGGTTAGCCTATTAAATATGATGCGTTAGTTTATTGTTAAATTTTTTATTTTTAGCAATAAAAAGAAGTATTGGTTTTGCCTTTTCATATATATTTTATCACCACGGAGAAATAAAAGGGCTCAAAGAAAAAAATTGACAATCCTGGACCAGTTTAAATTCGCATGTGTACAGTAAGTTGGCCCCTTCGACACAGGAAAGAGAAAAAAATTGACACTCTCTATTCTACCTTTCCTACAAACGCTCCTCGAGCAGGGAATTTGAAATGGGGGAAGAGTTTTTTTTCTCCCTGCTATTATATGTTTTTAATTTAGAAGAGATAGAACGAATCTACTTAGTGTGATTGGTTATGATCCTTGCTTTTCTTTGAAATGGTCACGGTTCGAATCCCAGTATGTGTCTTTTTAATGAATAAAAAAAAGTAATTGTGAAGTCCAAAATGTCCTTCCTACATTAACTCTCGTTGTAGGAAATTTGAAATGGGGCTCCCGTTTTTCCCTTCGGTGTATTATACTATGTGTAGATGATGGCTTAGGATACAGTGAGTAACCTTAGGTTACTCATCCATTAGTAATCAAATGGGAACCGTAGATCTGAGGGGGAAACATTGTGTGGCTGAGTTTGACACAGAGTGTGGAGGGGGATTTTTGTCCGATTTTTGAAATTTTATTTTCTTTTTTTCCAGCATTTATATGCTGGCTTTTAATTGAGGAAAGAGAAAACCAGATCTCTCTTCCTCTCTCTTTTTTTCTTTCTCCTTCGCTATTCCTTCTCTCTTCCAAACACCTTTTTCTAGATCTAGATTGTTTCCTTCTCTTGTTCTTCATTTTTTTTTCTCCAATCGACAAAGAAAAAAATTGCAGCCTCCCATCTCAAATTCAGTGACGCTCCAAATCCTTCTTCTCTTGATCTGCTCCTTCCTTCTGTTCTTTCTTTTCTCGGCCTCAAAATAGATGACACTCCATATTGACCAAGAGGGGACAAATTTAGGTGAGTCGAGTTTGCATGTTTTATGTTTTAGTATTTGTTTGTCAATTTTTAATTCCGATCTTCCTCCTTTTTTGTTGCATTTGGTGTTCTTAATTGTGGAAGAGGAAATGAGAGTAGACATAAGACGAGTTTTTTCTCTCCCTCATTCTATTTCTCTTCCTTCTTTTAGGTAATATATATTGATATTACCACACTATATCATATGGTAATATGTGCTAACTAAATGTATTTTTATGGTCACGAGTTTTATCATGGTGGTAGTGGGTGGTAATCGACAACAGTTCCGAGAAAGAAGAGTTAGAAGACAATGAAGTGGGAGAAGAAAGTAAAGAGAGTCGTAATTGTATATATATATTTAGATTACCACACTATATCATATGGTAATGTGTCTATACCATATGGTAAAGTGTGGTAACGAAATCTATTTTTATGGATATAATATTTTTCTATGGTCGTAGAGGGTTGTAATTAGATTTATATTATTTTCGTATGGTTTTACCTTCTCATACCATGTGGTATTGTATGGTAATTACAATTAATTTGTGTTCATTTGATTAACCATGTTCTATTATGGTGGTATTGAATGATAGTTATATTTATAATTTTCTGTAACCTGTTTTACCATGTTATACCATGTGGTGGTAGTTGGATTTGTAAATTATTTTAGCATGTTATACCATATGGTATGGTATGGTATGGTAATTAGATTTGTAAATTCTGTAGCATGTTTTACCACGTTATACCATGTGGTATTGTATGGTAGTTAGATTTGTAATTTTCTTCAACATATTTTACCATGTGGTATTGTATCCTAGTTAGATTTGTAATTTTCTTCAAACATATTTACCATATTTTACCATGATAGTAGAAAGTGATAATCATATTTATACTAGTAATTACTGTCTTTAGCACTGAATTATTTAACGAAAAAATCATCATTCAAGTTGAGTTAGAATTAGAACAGAGATAGCTAGGATGATTAGATTCATTTTTGTTGTAGATGGAAGAGAGAAGAAATAATGTGTTTTTTCTTTTAATAATAAAACAAAGAGTGAGAGAGAGGGGAACCAGTGTGGGATGGGGGAGTGGGATCCGCGTCTGGTCAAAAAGTGCGCGTCAGAGCGCGTTAGGCTGTCAGCATTAAAAGGGGTGCAATTTACCTTAGTGCCCCTCCGTGTTTAATTTAAATAAAAGGAAAAGGCTGACACGTGGGGACAGATGATTGGATTACTGACAGTTACTGATAAAAGAGTTACTGACCTGATCCGGTCCCATGTATGATCACCATTCAAAATCAATATAGAGGAGAAGGGACTAAGATTACCATATTCGTCGAGCGGTGCGTCGTAATCGTAGGTAGTAGTAATGTAGAGTCCTCCAACCTCTCTGCCGAAGTTGGTACCTCCATGGTACTGCATTCTCAATAATTGAAGAAGGGCATATAAATGAACAACGTTTTCGATTATTAATTCATAATGGCAGTGTGCATGCACACACTAATCCCAAAAATGTCCTACATTGACTAACCATGTAGTAGTTTTGGAAGGTGCCGCCCGTTTGGAAAACTGAACTTCTATTCGCCGCCCTAAGTTTTCAAATAAATTGCCCTAAATTTATTGAATGGACAATTTTACCCCCAACTTAAAAAAAAGTAAACCCTAACCTAAACTTACCCCATTCTTTTACTCTGCCCCACTCCCGCAGCAGGCAGTAGCCTGCCTCCCCCCTTCTTTCCATTTCAAACGTAGAGAGTGTCCAGGCGGTCGCCCTTCAATCTCCCAGCAACGTCGCCGCCGTTCACTCTCCACAGCAACGCCGGTGCCGTTCACACTCCCGAGCAACGACGCCGACCGCCCAGAATCTCCGACAATCCAATCCGAAGATCCACGCCGCCACTGCCGTTCTTAATCCGAAGATCCACGCCGCCAACCACTGCTCCGATGACCCGACGAAACCTCCGATGACGTGATTGTCGTCGTCGCCGGGAGAAGGTGAGTCGCCCTGTCTACCGTTCTTTCCACTTTTTATTTTTATTTTCGTGAATGTGAATGGGGCGGGTTGAAAACCTGCTGCCGGCGGACAAAAGACAGGTCGTCGCCGTCAAGAGCTAGTGGTTTCCCAGGCCCGGATCTGAGGTGAGGCGGGCAGGGTATCCGCCTGCATCGGGCGGTGGCTGGGTCGCAAACCCGCCCCTACCCGGTCCAGTCGGTTATCCAACCCGCCCACCCCGGTTCGGTCTGGTTTTCCAACCAGCCCGGTTCTGTTATGCCCAGTTTTTATTATTATGAATTATTAATTTAAATGCATAGGTTTATGAATTGTTAATTTTAATTAATAATATTTGTGAATGATTATTTATGCATCTAACATACATTAGAATGTGAATTGTAATCACTAATATGATTTGAATTGTTAATTATAATTAGCATGATGTTTTATTATTTTGACAATATAAGTAGTATTCAATTGATAAAGTTTATGATTGTTAATGATTATTAGGAATAGTTAAAAAGTTTAGGATGATTAATAATAATTCTGAAAAATTTTATTTTCTTGATAGTTGGTAAAAATGAACGAAAGAAAGGGAAAGGGAAAGTCGAGGGTTGTCGGACGCAATTTTACTGGATCTTAGCGGAGAAAACGCCAGGAGGAGAACGATAGAGCTCTTGAGCTGGAGCGTCAGGAGAAGCTTGCTCATCAAGCTGTAGTTGATCCTGCCCCCTATAGCCATGATTCTCGGCAGATGCGAGTCATCAACACATATGATGACTTGGTGGAGGATGCCACGAGTAGTGATGATGAGTGTGATGAGGGGTGATGAGGAGGGTGATTTGTTGCCATTTGTTGATGCTTTTTACCAAGGCCATCCTGTGGGTTCGAGCGATCACGTGTCTACTGGCTCGACCCATGTTAGTACTCGGGTTGGGCCGCTATGTGGTAAGGATGGGTGTTTTGCTTCATCATCTAGTGGGAGCGTCCCTTCACAGAAGAAGTTGGTGGATCAGAAATGGATGCTTACAGGAGCAAGTCCCGGGGGTCGGAATGACCACAGTTTGATTCCTAGTTTCGGTGGTCACACAAGCCATCGTTTGTGGACTTTGGGTTTGGATTTTCGAGTGATGTCTGAGTATCAGTTCTACACTCGGCAGGGTGGAGTGGATCGACTGAGGTTGTACAAGTTCTCGACTCCACGTGTAGAGAACTTGGTTAGGGCATCTAATTTGTACCACTTGAGTAGTTGCATGATGCATAGTGTGGATTACCCTCTCTTGGAGGCGTTTATTGAGAGGTGGCAGCCGGATACCAACACGTTTCACATGTCGTTCGGAGAGATGACGATCACTCTTCACGATGTTTCATTCCTACTCCAGATTCCAGTGGATGGAGAATTACTTGCTGCACCAGCTAAGGGTGATCCGTCGTTCGTGAGTGGGATTGTTGATCTTCTCGGGATTCCAGATAAGAATGTAGTGGCAGCGCGTGGCATCCGTTGGTATGACGGTGGTGGGATGTTGGTAGATGAGGCCATGATACGTCTACATGCTAGGGAGGATGGGGATGCTGAGGCACGATGCTATTTAATGTGTTTGATAGGGTCCACGCTTTTTGTGGATAAGAGTTCTGATAGTGTTCGTGGATGGTTGTACTCTTATTTCAGAGATTTGCAGATGGTTAGTAAGTATGCATTGGGTGTTGGTGCGCTTGCCTGGATGTATAGGCAGCTTGGGAGATCTAGTCGAGCGGGATCTAAAGGATTTTCTGGGTGCTTGACCTTGTTACAGTCTTGGATCTATGAGTATTTTCCATCGCTGCGCATTAACAGAGCTGCACCACAAACCGTGACACAGGGAGACCCATTGGCTAGGAGGTAGGAGGGTCCCGTTCATGGAGGGGGGCCTAGTGAGGTTCCACGATGGTTGGATCATTATCGTCGACTGTTGGATGGCTTTACAGCGGACCACGTGGACTGGCTTCCTTTTTGTGCCCACCGTGGCCATGTGGTACCTAGATCTTTGTATCGGGGGTGATACGATCCCCCACGCACTCTCCGTCAGTTTGGGTATAGACAAGTGATCCCTGATCCTCCTATTCGACCATCTCGTGTCAGTCGACCTGCTGTAGGGACCTATAAGGTCATTTTTGGGGCCGACCTCGATCAGCTTTGGAGGTCTCGTGGTCAGCTGATCAATTTGGATGCCTACTCTACACCTTTTGACGACACAGGATCCGTTGACCCAGAGTACCTTAAGTGGTACACTTTGCACACTCACCCATGCATTGTCCCCCCTAGAGATGGTGAGCAGCAGGAGGTGGCGTTGTTGACGTATGAGATGGTTAGTTTCTATGTTTTTCCCCTATTGGTAAATTTTATTTCTAAGATTATATACTACTATGGTATGATATACTAACACTAAATTTTATTTCTTGGACATTGCAACTAGCATGTCAGATTATTGATGGTATTGATCCTTTGCTTCGTGCTTCTGATGAGGATCTTGACAGGTTGGGTCCTTATGGTGACATGATTCAACGAGTTCGTGATAAGTACATCGCTTTTCGCCAGCAGAGACCGTACCGTCCACTTACCTTGTAGTTGTTATATGTTGAACATTGTTGTTTGATGTTTGGATGTTGGAACTCTAGTTTGCTTAGGTTTAGGTATTGGATATTTGCAGTGCTGTCAAAGCCGAACCGAGCCGGCCGGCCGGACCGCTAAAGCCGCCACCCGGCCGTAAAACCGACTCAGATCAGCTATTTAACCGCCACGGTTTTATACAGCGGCCGAAGCGGTTAAGCGCTTGAGCCGCTCAAGCCGGTCGCGCGGTACGGCCGTTTGGTTTACCCTAAAAAAAATAAAAAAGGAATCGTGGAATTGGGCAGCCAAACAAAACCCTAACTTTCCTTTTATTTTTCCATCTTCGATAGAACAGACGACAGAGGGAGAGCGGCGCCACCCTGCCGCCGTTAACCATCGCCCCAGGCCCCCAGCGCTTCCGTCCCGTCGCCGCAAGCAGGTCGCCGCCGCAAGCAGTGCGCCATCGCCAGTCGCTTCTGCTCCCCGCTCCCGGCGCAAGCAGCTCGCAATCGCCGCAAGCAGCGCCATCGCCAGTCGCTATCGTTGCTTCTGCTCCCCGCCATCGTCGCAAGCGGCGCCCCTGCAGCCCTGCTCCTGATCTTGTGTATCTTTATCTTATTCTCCCCCATTTGTAGTAATGCCCTGTTCTATGGGATGCTTGATGTTCCCTTTCGTAAGCTTATGAGAAGGGAAAAGAAAGGAGATATGCAATAGACGTTATTAGGTTCATTTTCAATAGAGTTCAATTAGCTTCTATTTTGGAACAATGTGGTGGTTTGGAATTGAATTTTAGATCTTTCAGTACTGATGTTCTAGAATGGTTTAAGAGAGTAATTTACTTGTGGTTTACCATGATTAAGAAGTGTATACTATTACAGATGACTGTTTATTAGGTACCGGTTCTCAAACGGTTTTTAAACGGTCTAATGCCGGCTGGACCACTAATGACCGAGCCGTTCACGTTACTGGGTCATACTCCGGCTCGGCTTTGACAGCATTGGATATTTGTCATTTGATGTCCGGATGTTGGATGTTTGTTATTTTTATATTTGGATGTTGGATGTTTCATATTTGAGGTTTGGATGTTAGAACTTTGATATTTGTGTTTTTTAGTAAATTCTCACATGTTACTTGATTAATTTAACCTAAATCTACATATTTTCTAACACAAAACATACACTACTTGATTAATTTCACGTAAATCCACGTAATTTCGAACACAAAGCACACACAAAAATAATAATACTTAATCACCCTCTTCATCATCGTTTGGATAATGTCCTACGAGAATGGCATACAATGCCTGCTCTTGCTCGTATAACAAGTCCCAATCAGGAATTGATGTCATATTCCGAAAATGAGACCATTGTGGTGAAAAAGGAGGCATTGGTGTCACTCCATCGACATCGTCGATTATGAGTCGGACCCAATGTGCCCTAGTAAAGACCAGTGCCATAACAGCATTTGGTTGAGTGACCCCCTCCGGCGCCGTCAAAGGTAAGGCGGTGTACCCATACGTGTGTTGCCCTCCATATAGTCCATAGACAACAATTGCCCAATTGTACATGGTTGCGAATACCAGTAGATCCACCTCCTCAAACCAATACTCTTGGGTGCATCTCCCAGCAATCCGACAATCCAATCAGTGAACTACTGCCTCCAACGATCCATCTCTAGAAAGGTAAACTCTCTTATATAGAGACCCCAATGGTTTCTAACCTCTGTTATGATATCTTGTCTCATTTGTAGGTAGTGTCCCTCATCTCCATGAATCGCATGTGACATGGCCCAAAAATCACATTGTCCGTCTGGTTATGGGTCAAACCAACCTCTAACAAGAGGGTGGATGCTAGGTGGGACATAGCGAAGATAGGGGCAAACATTTCTCTCATTGTGAACTTGCATATGCTGACTTTTCCGTGAACCTACAACAAATGGAAAAAAATATAACTAATATAAATGGTCATATATTGGAAACCTTACAAATGAGACAAGATATCATCACAAAAATATTAAAATGATGCTAACCTGCGGGGGTTTTGCTCCTAGGTGTCCTCGGGCTCTGATTTTTTTTTTTTTTTTGCTCCTCTTTGCTGACCTTGCCCTCTCATGCTCAAACGAAGAAGGATCTCTGGCGTTGGTCCTCTTAGGTGGTCGTCCCCTTTGAGCATCTGACTCCCTAGGCTCTTGTAGGCCTTCAACTTGAGGATGAATATGGGGTCGTAGTATCTGAGTTGCCTTCCGAATAGCAGATGGCCCTTGTTTGTACACATCCTCCACCATTGCTGTAAAAATGTTACGCTCAATGGCATCATGGTCTTCCCATTCGGCACGATCGGGAGGACTCTCATACACTAAAGATGAACAGAATCGATGCAAGTGGTAGGGATACAACTCTATGCCGACAACACTATATTCATCCATCTTACATTTACATGGTAGACCATGTGTCTCAGGTAGCCGACATCCACATCGCCGAACGATTTCTCTCCCTCGTTCTTCCATCATCAACTTAATCGCCCACAAGCTTACTTCTTTATTCAAGTTTCCATATGCTGGTCCATAGGCTAATGCAAATACCTTTCCGAATCATGAATTTGTAAGTCAAAATCAATTTGAGGATATAGGGAAGTACTAATTTAAATAAGCAAAAAAAACGAAAATACCTTGGAAAGTGATGCCTCTAAGTCCTTCTTCAATTCAATCACTCTTCCCTCGACGGATGTATGAAATCTGAGGAAGAGTGTATCGATCTTGTGGGTCGAAGTGGCAAGCCATTTCTTCAAAGAGGAATGCATTGACTCTACCCTATTTGTGCTTGTGTTACCAATATGGAAGACACGATTGGTGTAGCAATGAGCCCACCTTTCCGCGCATGGTATCCACTCACTTCTGAGGTAGTCCATTAACTTTTCGCTTGTACCCCAATGACCATTTTGCAAGTCTCGCCAACAACGTTGGAACCCTGCCTCGGTATTGGCATTCAAGACTCTCCACCATGGACCTTCTATAAACCACTCGGCAGAATCAGGACTGATCCTAAAAGATAACATTTTAGCTTCAATGTTCCTCTTCATGTGCCACACACATAGTAAATGAGCTGAAGATGGAAAGATCGGTCGCAATGAGACACCCAAACCTCCCTCCTTATCGGTAAAAAACGCATCCGTTGGTCGATCACCAAGCAGATGCTTCAATTGCCAAAAAACCCAAGCATATGTCTCCTTCGTCTCATCCGACACCAATGCAAACCCAATATTGAAGTTGTTCTTCACCGGACTAACACCAATCAACTGAACTAGTGGCTGCTTATACTTGTTGGTCTTGTAAGTTGAGTCTATCAAAATGACGAAATACCATGCGCTCAACATCCGAATAGACTCTGGATGGCAAAGGAAGAGTCTAGAAACACGGCGCTCATCATCAAACTCGCACTCAACAAAGTAATCGAGATGTTGAGCTTCTATCAATGTCCACCGCATAGGTTTCATGCCACCCAATCTCTCACGCCTAATCTTTTCTGTCTCGTTATAAATCTGCTTCATATGGTGATGAGCATCGTACTTCCTATTCATACAACTCCTAATATCTCTTGCCTGAGTATGTGTTTCCTCCAACTCCTTAATATCTATTCTTCTCTCTTTCGAAAGAGAATTCCTTTGCCTATTTCCTTCAGAATATACCTCCAATTTGTGATTGTGAAATCCTCTCGACTTACCCGGATTATCTTTGTCCTTAACACCAAAAATTCTCCACTCACACTTGCCATCTACCAATGAACAACGCACTACCACTCGGAAACGACAATCAGACTTACCTGTTTTAGATTTGCTCCGTGTTGTTTTTGCCAAATCAGGAGTAAGCAGGCATGTTCTTTACGGGATTAAGCCGTATGCCAAGCGGGTTGTCTACCCGCCTCGTCCATGGAAAGACATGTGGCCGAAAGGGTGAGATCGCGGGACGGGCAGGTCGTTTACACGCCTCTCCATCAGCGTGGACATAAAGTCTTCCCACCTGTCCACTGACGCGGGCATGTCTACCCGCCTGTCTGATGGATCAAGCAAGTGAATTACATGCTCAGCAGGAGGAACGTACATGCTGTCTACGCGTTTCCTCCATGGAGAGACGTGTTTTCAACCTGCCTCTCCGGCGGCGCGCACACAATTTCAACCCGTTTGTTCTCGTAAAACCAGAAAAAAAGAAGAATAATGCAGCATACCTTTGTTCGAATACTTGACTGCCGAGTGTGCCTTTGGCTCCGATGGTCTCGCCGAATCCAAATAAAACTCACAAATAAAGAAGAGAGAAGTTGAGAATTGATGTGGTGTGGGGTTTGATTAGTTTTTTGTTTGTTGTTTCCACTCTTTGTCTCTACAAAGAGTGGAAAAGTGTATGGGACCATTATGTCCTACAATATATGGATTTAAACCCCAAAACCAACACAAGGGCATTTTGGTCATTTTATATATCTTAGGGCGATAAATTTAAATAATTAGGGCGACAAATATGAACTCTCTTAGAAAAACCTCGCAACAGCATACGCAACATCCTTAGCAGTTCTATGTGGATTTCTCCCACCCCAATTCTTAAACCTGAGCAAGTCATCATTTTCATTTGAGCCATAATTGTCCATGTATATAATATACCTTATAAATCCATGGATAAAAACATAATTAAATGAAGATTTACAAAGAGGAAATTATAATAATTTGGTTAGCTAGACAGGGATATATATAATTATAATGAATGAAGTAGTAGGTAGATACCAGCCAGTCCACTTTTCGGTCCACATTTTAGGGGTGTTTGGGTTGGTAGGGATGAAGTCGTCGCAGTAGAAACCGTTGCATGTGTTGATCTGATCCATCCATCAAATTCAAATAATTAAGCAATAACAGTTGTACGTAATTAGTAGTAATGATTACGTACGTTACATACCATGGGCTGTGGAGCATCTGATTGTTTGTTGGCACATGAGCCATGGAACTCCAATGTTCAAGGACTTGGCCATATTAGCACACCATTTGATGTATTATTTTCCGGCATCTCCGTGTGACCCCATGTCCCCATAACATTCCCATACTCAGCTCGTTCTCAATCTAATTAATTAATACCCACCCAACATCATATCATACTTATCCAAGCAATCTGCCTAACTATTTAATAAACTAGATATCATTCTTATATAGGATCTAATTAAACCTGGCTAAGAATGACGGGGCCTCCTTGTCCAGCAAACAAGTTGGCTTCTTTCACCATGTTCACAATCAGCGTGGTGAAGTTTTGCATCTCATTCTGATCGAAAAACAAGCAAGCAGAGAAAGCAGATCATAATGAAACCACATGGTCGAGTGATAGATATATAATAGAAAGTGTGATGGGAAAACTAAGGATTAATTACCATATAGACATTGTTGAAGGTGCGGAGCTCAATGCCTGGCATGTTATGCAACCACACAGGAAACCCTCTGCATTCATTCACAAACAATTGAGAATAAACAAGACAATAAGATCAGTAGGTAATAATGGAGGGACAATTACAATGGCGTCAAGTCCACCTTCCTTGGCTTTCCTCACCAGATCTGGCCACATCTGTGTTCGTATAAAAAAAAAAAATAATAACAAACCAAACTGTTAGTATATATAAATACCAACCTCCCGCTGGCCGATCGATCAGTTCGCCCGCTACAATTACAACGCAACTTGACTTACCTGGGCGGTGCTTCGAGGGTAGTGAATGGAGCCCGGAAGCAGGACTCTGCATTAGAACAACAGCTAATGAATAGGATCAAACAGAGAACAGCCTCTCTTGGTATTTGCCTGCAACTCGCCATCCTCATTTATTAATTCTGGACGTACGTGCTGCTACTTCAAACTAGATCAAAACTTTCCTGCTATATATACAGATAGTTAAGCTAGGCTTAAAGTCAATCGGTTACAGATAGAGGATGGATGATTACCCTATCCTATTGTTAGGTAGATATCCTTAACTGATTTGTGGATTCTGATTTTGTTACCTAGATATCCTTAACTGATTTGTGGATAATTATCCGCAAAATTGAACAATCATGTATTATGCATACCGCGGATATTCTGTGGTGCCGTGACAGCACCTGTGCATGCAATTAGTTTGACCGGTTTGGTTTGAAAGAAATAACATATTCCCGAGACCGTACTCGCCCGTGGTGAAAATATCAGTTAAAAACCACCACCATCGTCGTAGTAGCCGGCCGACCAGCATCACCATCTCCTTCGCCACTGCAATTTCGCCTCCTCTTTTTATGAAGAAAAAAAATCCTGATCTCGATTCCTACCGTTAGTTCAAATCACCATGGTCATCACCGCTAGGCCATCCCCCAGTTCACCAACATCAAGTTGTTGCTGCCAGCTGGAGAATTTTGTTAGAGTTCATTTCTTATTCTTCCGAGCAGCTGCTTTGCGATCAATAAACCGATGGGTACAAAGAAAACAATAGATAACCTAAGTATTTGCTAGTGTTGGACTTCAGACGATGGTGATCGATCGATGGAAGATGAAGGTGAAATTACAGTTTCGATTCTACCAGTCCCGGGAGAACTCTTCCACGAAATCGGAGAGCTATTTTGGATGACAAATAAACAAATAAAAAAGAAACTCGAGGATAAATAATTAACCGAAATTATAGGTTTAACCGATTTAATTAGATGTTGGTTAGAGTTCGATGGTCACTATTTGATATCATGTATCTAACGGCTGCAAATTAATCGGTACGGGTGCCGGCACGGCACCACAGAAGTCGCTTACATACCGTAATAGTAGCAACTACTTACCCTTCTTCTTTCTTTTTTTTTTTTCTTTCAAAACATATTTATCCGTTTTAAAGAGTTTGAATTTTCATGTAGACAAAAGGTTTGATTTCCAGTAAAATATTATACCATAATAAATCAATAATCCAGTTCTTGTACATCAGTCACGGCCATTTTGACAACTAAGACCGATAATCGGTTCGGTTTGGTTATAACTAGAATCTTTTAGTCGGTTCTTGGTTAATTGTTAAGCCCACTGTGCTTACCGTTAACCGTATCGTTTAAATTAATCGGTTAACCATGACCGTATAATCGGTTCTCGATTATTTTGTTGATTAACCGGATAACCGCTAACCAAGTTATTTGGCAACTTTTTACAAAAATAACCAATCGATAACCTCACCAACAAAAGACCTTCTTTTTTGAATGGTGAAATTTTCTATAATTTTTCATACATACATATGTGTTCTTTTCTTAAGTTGTTATCATTGAATACAAAATAATTTAACATAGATATATATTAATACATGATCAACTCAATTCAACACAAGTACACAACAATACCATTCTACCATCAAACTTTATTTAAGAAGGTACAACGATATAAGATCCAACAACAATTACTCAACTCGTAAACTCCGCCAAATTACATGAAAGCTTAATGTTACTGATTGTTGTTGAGCAACTGTGTGCAAGTCTGACTTTCTACTATGCTTCTTCTAAAACTCTTCCTTTAAATTATTCTCATTTGAGTATAAATCACTATTACAATTAGGATAGGCAAGGGGTCTTCACTACACAAGAATTGGTTTTTAGTCATGGTATCTTATTCACGGGAAGGTTTCACGTACTAAGAAGTATGCTACTAGTCACGGGAAAAATTACTGTATTTGATTGTATAGTTCTAATTGTACATGGGCGTTGGGCCGGCACGGCATGGGTACGCTTCGGGCCCATTTATTTCGTGTCGTGCTTGGCACGGCCTGTCAGTTTTCGTGTCGTGCCATGCAAGTCCATTAATTAACTTTGCTAGGCCCGGCCCAAGCCCGGGCACGGATCGAATCGTGTCGTGCCTATTCGTACTCGTGTCATGCTCGTATTCGTGTTTAATGAAAAGGACGAAAATAAAAGAGAGAATGAAAAAGAAAGTGAAAATTGGACAGAGGAAGATAGTATTAACTGATAATGTTGGAGAAAAGTAACAAATACGGGGGAAAAGAAAATTGGAAGTATAGCGAGTGTGATTTGGCTTTGTTTAATTCTTTGTTCATTTTTACTTATGTTAGTAATTACGTATATATCTTTATGACACTTCTAACAACAACAATTAATTATTTTTCTACTTGTGTTTTGTAATATTTGAACCTATAATTCTTTTATATTTATTTTCTATCAAATAAATATTATTTTCGTGTCATGTCCATTCTTATACTCAATAAAGTCTCGAAAATATTAGGCCCCACACGACCCACTTATATACCGTGTCGTGCTCGTGCTCGTGCCTGTGCCCATGAAGTTTAAGCCCGGCACGGCCCATAAATTATTCGTGCTCGTGCCGGGCTGACCCATTTATTTCGTGCCCGTACTCGTGCCGTGCTCTAATCGTGCCGTGCTAGCCCGTGGGCGGCACGGCCCGGTGCCCACGTACAGTTCTAATCAAGGAATCAATTCACCTATTATTCAGTCTTCATTTCCCGTGATTAATTGTTAATCACGTTAATTACCGTGAATAATGTAACGATTTATCTTTATAAATTGTAGGTAAAACTAAAAAAATATTTAAAAAAGCTAAATGTTTGGAGGGTCCCGCCTTCCCTTCACAATTTTTTTTCCTTCCCCCCATATTTTTTGACCAAAATTTTGCATTCCCCGTCTGGTTAACAAAAAAGACTAAAACAAGAACAACCCCCTTATCCTTAGAGAGAAACTAAAGTACTCTCTCGTTCTTTCTTGGTCTCTTCAGTCTTCAGAGAAAAATAAAGGCATG